GCACTTTTCGGGCCCGGGGGCACGAAAGGAGCACGTCGCTTCGCCCCTCCCATTGACCGCCCCTCCATCAAGTGAGCAAGCCCAAGCTCCCCAGCCGCGCCCGAGAAGGCCCTGCCCTGGTGGGGCGGCGCCCCCTCGCACCATCCAGCGCCGAGCCGCGACAACGCCTGCTCCTCCTGGCCCGAAGTTGACGGTGATTACGTCGGTCCTAAGGCGATCGTTCATCGACGAAGTGACTATATGACCCCAGAGGTGTCTATCTGTCCTCTTCCTCCTCCTTCTCTTCCCTCCTCCTCCTCCTCCTTCCCCTCCTCCTCCTCCTCCTTTTCCTCCTCCTCCTCCTCCTCCTCCTCCTCTTCCCTCCCCTCCTCCTCCTCCTCCTTCTATTCCTCCTCCCTCTCCTCCTCCTCCTCCCCCTCCTCCTCCTCCCCCTCCTCCTCCTCCTCCTCCACCTCCTCCTCCTCCTCCTCATGGGCCACGGAAGAAGAACGAAGAGTGGTGTGCGCCTGCAGTGGAGAAAATATGTCTCCGCATCCTTCTCCTCCTCCTCCTCCTCCTCCTCCATCCCTTTTCTCAAATCAATAGCTTTTCCCTGTCGCACCGCGAGACAAGTTTTTAGGGCGTGCTGGGCGTTTCGCCTGAGACTTCCTTACCATGTATGACCCTGGAGCTTAAACGTCGACAGCAGCTTCACAGATGGAGGACGGGTGGATTTCAAAATGTGGCTCTCGCCTTGGCGCCGCGCACATTCGCTTTAAACATTTGCAAAAGTTTAACAGATTGAGGGCGGGTGGTTTACAACATGTGGCTCTCCCCTTAGCGCCGCGGACATTCGCTTCAAACATTTGCAAAAGTTTAACAGATTGAGGGCGGGTGGTTTACAACATGTGGCTCTCCCCTTAGCGCCGCGGACATTCGCTTCAAACATCTGCAAGAGTTTTACATATTGAGGGCGGGTGGTTTACAACATGTGCCTCTCGCCTTAACGCCGTTACACGACTTTTCAACGTGTGCAATTGTTTCACATATTGAGGGCGGGTGGTTTTCGAACTGTGGTTCTCGCTTTAGCGCCGCGCACATTCGCTTCAAACATTTGCAAGTGTTTCATGGATTGAGTGCGGGTGGTTTTCAACATGTGGCTCTCGCCTTGGCGCCGCGCACATTCGTTTTAACACATTGCAGTCGTTCCACGGTTTGAGGGTGTCTCCTTTTTAAATGTGGTTCTCGCCTTAGCGCCGCGCACATGAGTTATTTTATGTTGTTGCTTCCCATCAGAAGAATTCAAGTAGTTTCACTGACTCCCAGGACCAACAAACAAGACATTTTATGTTGGACGGATTCGCGATTACGAGGGTGCAGCAGTTACGTTGGTTCGCGGTGCTGAATTCCCAGGAAGTGTGTTTTGGCACGAGTACAGACGGTCAATACGCAGCAGTCAGGTGGATCTGTGGCGTTGGAATCCCGAGCGCAATGTTTTGGCATGCTCCAGGGTGTTCAAACGGCTGTTTTCCAACGAGGCAGTTCCCTCAGTGGAAGTTAACCAGTGTGGGGGTCTATGAAGAGGGAGCTTGGAGGGAGGGTGTATTCCAACATCGTTTATGACTCTTGGGTCTCCACTGGTCCTCCTCATCATCATCTCCTTCCTCCTCTTCCCCCTCCTCCTCATCCTCCCTCCTCCCTCCTCCTCCTCCTCCTCCTCTTCCTCGAGGCCGGGGGATTGTGGAGTCGCTGTGGGTTTTAGACGAAAATTTACGATATTTCAGTTTGTTCCTCATCATTATACTGATGTTTCCTTTCTCGTTTTTTTTTTTTTTCTCTCTCTCTCTCTCAATCTCTCCCACTCCCATTCCCATTCCATTCCCATTCCCAATACCATTACCATTACCATTCCCATCCCAATTCCCATTCCCATTCACATTACCGTTACCATTACCATTACCTTTACCTTTATCTTTACCTTTACCTGTACCATTACCATTACCATTACCATTGCCATTACAATTGCCAGTGCCATTACCATTGCCATTACAATTGCCATTATCATTGCCATTGCCATTGCCAGTGCCGTTGCCATTGCCATGGTATTGCCATTGCCAGTAGCCACCCCGTTACCATTACCGTTACCATTACCATTCCCATTACCATTACCATTCGCCACCACCATTACCATTGCCATTATCATTAGCATTACCAACACAATTGCCATTACCATTACCATTACCGCTGCCATCACCATTACAATTCCCATTCCCATCATCATTGCCATTACCATTACCGTTACCAGTACCATTTCCATTGCCATTATCTTTCCCACTACCACTACCATTTCCATTCCCGTTCCCGTTCCAATTACTACTACGATTCCCATTCCCATTCCCATTCCCATTCCCATTACCATTACCATTACCATTACCATTACCATTACCATTACCATTACCATGACCATGACCATGACCATTGCCATTGCCATGGCCATTGCTATTGCCATTGCCGTTGCCGTTGCCATTCCCATTACCATTGCCACTCGCTACCCCGTTACCATTGCCATAACCATTACCATTACCGTTATCGTCACCATTACCATTCCCAGTACCATTATCATTACCACTGTCATTGCCATTACCATTACCATTGCCATTGTCATTGCCATTCGCCACTACCATTACCATTGCCATTCGCCACTACCATTGGCATTACCATTGCCATTGCCATTGCCCTTCGCCACTACCATTACCGTTGCTAGTACCATTACCATTCCGATTAACATTCCCATTCCCAAAACCATTACCATTACCATTACCATTACAATTGCCATTGTCATTACCATTACCATTACCTTTACCTCTACCTTTACATTTACCCTTACCCTTACCATTCCCATTTCCGTTACCACTATCACTGCCATTTCCATGCCCGTTCCCATTCCCATTCACATTCACATTCCCGTTCCCATTCCCATTCACATTACCATTGCCATTACCATTACCATTGCCATTGCCATTGCCATGGCCATTACCATTGCCATTGCCATTCCCATTGCCATTGCCATTGCCATTACCGTTGCCGTTGTCATTGCCATTGCCATTGCCAGTCGCCACCCCGTTACCACTATCATTACCGTTACCATTACCAGTACCATTACCATTACCTCTGTCATTACCATTACCATTCGCATTGCCATTGCCATTGCCATTAGCCACTACCATTACCATTGCCAGTACCATTTCCATTGCCATTCCCATTCTCATGACCATTACCATTACCATTATCACTATCATTTCCATTACCATTACCTTTACCTCTACCTTTACCTTTACCCTTACCCTTACCATTCCCATTTCCGTTACCACTACCACTACCATTTCCATTCCCGTTCTTGTTTCTATTCCCATTCACATTCCCATTCCCGTTCCCCTTTTCATTACCATTGCCATTATCATGACACCTACCATTGCCATTGCCATGGCCATTATCATTGTCATTGCCATTGCCAATCTCATTGCCATTGCCATTACCATTACCGTTGCCATTGTCATTGCCATTGCCAATCGCTACCCCCTTACCATTACCCTTACCGTTACCATTACCAGTACCATTACCATTACCATCACCATTGCCATTGCCATTCGTCACTACCATTACCCTTGTCAGTACCATTTCCACTCCCATTCCCATTACCATGATGCTACCGCTGCCATTACCATTAGAATTCCCATTCTCATTCCCATTCCCAATACTATTACAATTTCCAGAACCATTACCATTACCATTACCATTACCAGTGCCATTACCATTACCACTACCACTATCATTTCGATTCCCGTTCCCGTTCCCATTTCCACTTCCATTCCCATTACCATTACCATTACCATTACCACTGCCATTGCCAGTACCATTACCATTACCATTACCATTACCTTTAGCTCTACCTTTACCTCTACCCTTACCATTACCATTGCCATGGCCATTACCATTGCCATTGCCATTGCCATTGTCATTGCCATTCCCATTGCACTTGCCATTGCCGTTACCATTACCATTACCATTGCCATTGCCATTGTCATTGCCTCGCTACCCCGTTACCACTATCATTACCGTAACCATTACCAGTACCATTACCATTACCATTACCATTGCCATTGCCATTGCCATTGCCATTGCCATTCGAGGGTTTCAGTAGGAATCATTCAGTGGAGGGTTTCAGTAGGAATCCACATGTGGAGGATTTCGGTAGGAATCATTCAGTGGATGGTTTCGATAGGAACCCTTCTGTCGAGGATTTTACTGTGAATCCTTCTTATGGGGGCGTCCAATAGGAATCCTTCTAGGGGGGAGGGCAGATGTGGTCACGTCGCATTCCTTTTCTTTTTGTTTTCTCCTGGCGCCCCCCCCAGAAACAAAAAACAAAAAGAAACTGATTTTTTTTTTTTTCTGGGGGGGGGGCGCCTGGAGAAAAAAAGGCAGAGAGGTAGCAGGAGGGGGAGAGGGAGGAGGAGGAGGAGGAGGAGGAGGAGGAGGGGCGGAGGAGGAGGAGGAGGACGACACAGAGCAGAGTTTGCACAGAAACAGTCGCGAACTCAGCGCGAAACCCTCGCGCGCGCGCTTTTGAACCCCTGCGACTCCATAATCCCCCGTTCTCTCTTCCTCCTCATCGTCCGCCTCCTCCTCCTCCTCCCTCTCCTCCTCCTCCTCCCCCCTCCTCGTCCTTCTCCTCATCGTCCGCCTCGTCCTCCTCCCTCCTCCCCCCCTCCTCTCCTCCTCTCCCTCCTTCCTCCTCCCCCCTCCTCCTCCTCCTCCTCCTCGTCCTCCTCCTCCTCCTCCTCCTCCTCCCTCCTCCTCTCCCTCCCCCCTCCTCCCTCCTCCCTCCTCCTCCTCCCTCCTCCCTCCTCCCTCCTCCCTCCTCCTCCTCCTCCTCCTCCTCCTCCTCCTCCTCCTCATCCTCCTCCCTCTCCTCCTCCTCCCCTCTTTCCGGCCCCCCTCGCCGGCCTCGCCCGAGCGAGGCCTGCCCTGGTGGGGCGACGCCCCCGCGGACCACCCGCTGCCGAGCCGCGCCCACGCCCGACGAGCGCAGGCCGCCCGCCCGGCCCCTGGGGCGGCGTGTCCCGCCTCGCGGGGGGGCGGGGGGGCGCCCCCCTGTAGGGTTTCTCCGAAGGCCTTAGGCTACCCGTCCTCCTCCTCCTCCTCCTCCTCCTCCTCCCCTTCTCCTCCTCCTCCTCCCTCCTCCTCCTCCTCTCTCCTCCTCCTCCTCCTCCTCCTCCTCCTCCCCATCCATCCTCCTCCTCCCCCTCCTCCTCCTCCTCCTCCTCCTCCTCCCCTCCTCCTCCTCCTCCCCTCCTCCTCCTCCTCCTCCCTCCTCCTCCTCCTCCTCCTCCTCCTCCTCCTCCTCCTCCCTCCTCCTCCCCTCCCCTTCTCCTCCTCCCTCCTCTCTCCTCCTCCTCCTCCTCCTCCTCCTCCTCCTCCTCCTCCTCCCTCATCCTCCTCCCTCCTCCTCCTCCTCCCCCGCCTCCCCTCCTCTTCCTCCTCCTCCTCCTCCTCCTCCCTCACCTCCCTCCTCCTCCCCTCCTCCTCCTCCCCGCCTCCTCCTCCTCCTCCTCCTCCTCCTCCTCCTCCTCCTCCTCCTCCTCCTCCCTCCTCCTCCTCCTCCTCCTCCCTCCTCCTCCTCCTCCTCCTCCTCCTCCTCCTCCTCCTCCCTCTCCTCCTCCTCCTCCTCCTCCTCCTCCCTCTCCTCCTCCTCCTCCTCCTCCTCCTCCTCCTCCTCCTCCTCCTCCTCCTCCTCTTCCTCCTCCCCAGTCGGCGTGTCCCGCCTCGCGGGGGGGGGAAGGGGGCGCCCCGCTGCGGTGCGGTGCGCCCGGTCGGAGCTCGGGTCCCAGAGCTCCAACGCATTGAGAAAATTACGACGCGCGTTTTTCGCAGTTTTCGGCCTCTGTAGGGGCCCTCCCTCGCCGGGCCGCGGGAGCGTTCAAAAACGACCCAGGATGAAAAGCCCGTTCTGGGGAAGGGGTCGACCCTTCCGGGGACCCCGTACCTTCCGGGGACCCCGTATTGAACAAGTCACGACGTCGGATCTCTGGGGTCAGGGATCCAGTAGAGCCTCGGCCGCCTGAACCGGCTGCACCCACTTGCGCATAGCTCCAGTGGGACGATGCCGAGCAACTGGCTGGAGCCCCCTTTTTGTCCCCTGGCGAAATCGGCGCGACGTCCTCGACCAACCTGATAACCAGCCCAGACTCGCCGCTCTGATTTGTTCGCAGCCCCGGAGGTCTGGGCTCGTGGTCGGTGCGGTGCGCCTGGTGGCGTGCAGGGTTCAGGGATCGAGGTTCGAGGTTCGGGGTTCGAGGTCCCAGGTTCGGTGTTCGAGGTCTGAGAGTCGGGGTTCGAGGTCTGAGAGTCGGGGTTCGGGGTTCGAGGTTCGGGGTTCCGGGCCCGAGGTCTCAGGTCCGAGGTTCGGGGTTCGAGGTTCGAGGTCCAGGGCGGTCCTGGGTACAGTCAACCCGCACAGTAAGAATGGGCAACTTTCCCAAGGGTGCCCTTGCATCCTTGCCCTTTCGGCGCATCCTTAGCGGCGTTCGCTGGCCCACCTCGCCCGAAAAACGTCAACTTCGCCTTTTATGAGGCCCTTGCACCCTTGCCGAGCATCCTCACGATACGGGCTGACGGCATGAGAAGGCCGTGGGGGTTCGCGCTCTCGGGTCCGGGGGCTCCGCTGTCGAGGCTCGGGGCTCGAGGCCGCCCGCCCGCCGGCCGCCCCGCCAGCCCTGGGGCGGCGGCCGGCCCCCCTGCTGCGGTGCGGCGTGCCCGGTCGGCGCGGGTAATCATATAGGCCTCCTGGAGTCGGGGGTGTACAGGGCCCGTACCCTGGCGCGTCGATTAGGGAGTTGTCCGTTTTCGGTTCTCGAGAGGGCGCCGCGGCCGTCGTTTTCCAGGCTTGCGCCCGCCAGGTCTGGGCCCGAGGTCGTTTTCACTAAACCACGATGCATTAAAGGGATTCTGTCCATCCCCTGTGGAGGGGGTCAGAGGATCGCGCCGCATCGCCGATGCATCGACCATGCGGCTCGATGTGGAGCCCGTGTTTCTCTGCGCTGACGTCGCCGATGCCTCGCCGACGTCGCCGATGCATCGCCGATACATCGGCGATGCATTGGGGATGCGGCGCGATCCTTCGACCCCATCTACTCGGACCCCACCTAGGAGGCCTCTCGTTCGGGTCTCAGACATCCGGCGTCTCGAGGAAATCGGCGCGGAGGTTGTCCCTCGTTTCAGGCCTCTCTGGGCCCTCACCGGGCCTCAACCATCAGGAAATGGCCTGGGATGGAGAGTTTGTTTTCGGGTAAGTGGACGAGAAGCCGGGGGCAGGTGTCTCGAAATAATCTCTGTCACGCGCAGATGGGGTAGGGGGAGGGGGGCAGGCTTCTCAGAAGCAGCCTCCTTCTGAGAAGCCTTCCCCTCTCCCCCTACCCTTTGTGCGCGCCGCCAAAAACAGCCGAGACGCCAAATCGATGTTTGGGGTTCCCCAGGTTCTCGAGTCTCCGCAGGTTCCCAGTCCCCCTGCCGCCCGCCCTAGGGCGGCGCCCAGTCGCGGGATATGGGGGGGGCGCCCGATGCGGTGCGGAGCGCCCGATCGGCACGGTTTTTTTTTCAGGTGCGGGGTGCGCTGGGCGAGGCTCGGGGCCCGAGGGGCCGCACAGGTTGGGCCGAGGCAGGCGGCGGCGGCCCCTCGCCGGCGGTGTGTTTGGGTCCTCGGCCTGCTTCCCCCGGGGGCTTCTCGGCGCCACGGCGGCATCCGCTCCAGAATACGGGCCAGGACGTGCCGCGGGAGGGGTCCAGGATTATGTCGGGCATGTCCCTCTACATGAGGACTAATCAAAAATAGACCAAAAATCGTCAGGGGACGATGTTTTGTCAATGTTTGATTGTTTGTGTTGAGTATGGTTTGAATATTACCTGCTTTTCCAATGTTCCCCTGCAGGAGGACATGCCCGACCTAAGTCCATTGACCGACTTTGAGCGGCTCTGGGTTGGGCGGGTTCGAGATGTTCGGACGTTCTCTCGCCGGCCCTCCGCGCGGGTTCTCAGCAGCCTACGCCTTCTTCCCTTGGGGGGGCCTGCCGTCCGCGGAGGGGGGGGGGGCGTCGCCTGACGCGGGGAAGCGCGCCCGATCGGCACAGGAGTTCGAGGTTCGGGGTTCGGGGTTCGAGGTTCGAGGTTCGAGGCTCGAGGTTCGCCCGATCGGCACAGGAGTTCGAGGTTCGGGGTTCGGGGTTCGAGGTTCGAGGCTCGGGGCTCGAGGTTCAGGGCCGTCAGAGTTCGGGGAGACGTAAGACTCGAGTACGCGGGAACTCGGGTTGCCGACGCTTTTTGACGAACGCGTCCTGGATTTTGACGGTCCAGTTTTCGTGGGATGTCTGCGGCGGGAGTTCGCGTCAACTTCCCGAGTGGGTCGCGTCATTTTCCGACGATGGCCTCGTTAGGCAAACCCGAGTCCCCCGCACCCGGGTCTTACGTCTCCCCGAAAAGTTGAGTCAAAGCAAGTGGGGTTGGCGGAACACGCCGCATCGGCGGTCACCACCCACCAAACCACCCCAACCCAACCCGAAGCCTTCAATTTGCCTTCCATTTCCAGTGGGGGGGGGTCCAGGAACGTTGAAAAAAACACATGGTATCCGTACCCCCTCCAACCCGAAATTCGGGTCAAATTCGGGTCTTCGGGTTGGGTTGGGGTGGTCTGGTAGGTAGTCAGGCGGTGGTCGGCATCGCGGCTTGATGAGGAAGCCGCTTCTCTCTCCACGCCGGCGGCGCGGATGCATCGCCAGCGTCGCTGGTGCGTCGCCGATGCTTCCGCCATGCGACGCGATCCTCCGACGCGCTCACCTCGGACCGAGGAACGAGGACCGAGGAGGAGGAGGAGGAGGAGGAGGAGGAGGAGGAGGAGGAGGAGGAGGAGGAAGAGGAGGAGGAGGAGGATGGAGGAGGAGGAGGAGGAGGAGGAGGAGGGAGGAGGAGGAGGAAGGAGGAGAGGAGGGAGGAGGAGGAGAGGGAGGAGGTAGGAGGGAGGAGGAGGAGGAGGAGGGAGGAGGAGGAGGAAGGAGGAGGAGGAGGAGGGAGGAGGGAGGAGGAGGAGGAGGAGGAGGAGGAGGAGGAGGAGGAGGAGGAGGATGGAGGAGGAGGAGGAGGAGGAGGAGGAGGAGGAGGAGGAGGAGGAGGGAGGAGGAGGAGGGAGGAGGAGGAGGAGGAGGAGGAGGAGGAAGGAGGAGGGGAGGAGGAGGAGGAGAGGAGGAGGAGGAGGGAGGAGGAGGAGGAGGGAGGAGGAGGAGGGAGGAGGGAGGAGGAGGAGGAGGAGGAGGAGGGAGGGAGGAGGAGGAGGAGGAGGAGGAGGAGGAGGAGGAGGAGGAGGAGGAGGAGGAAGAGGAGGTTGGCGCCCTCCAACCGGGCTCGAGGTTCGGTTTTGTCGGGCGCTTTCGTCGGCTCCCAGCGGTTTTCCAGCCTCGGGGAGTGCTCCCCAGCAGCTCAAGGCCTCCGCCGAGAGTGTCCCGAGACGGTGCCCGCGTCCTCCCGAGGGGCCGCCGGAGGCCCCCGTTGTGGCTCGAAGGTTCGACGGCGACGATCACCGAAGAAGAAACAACGCCATAAACATAAAATTTTGGCGCTCCGCGCGGATTTCCTTAGATCCGCGCTCGCCCTCCTCGGCGGCGCCTCCGGCGCCGCCCCTTGCGCGCTCCGCGCGCCAGGGAGGGGGCCCCGGGGCGGGTCCCAGAAATCCGCGCGGAGCGCCAGAAGTTTATGTTTCTGCCGTTTTCGTTCTTCTTCTTCTTCTTCTTCTTCTTCTTCTTCTTTTTTTCTCTTCTTCTTCTTCTTTACCTAACAGCGAAGACTGATAGGTTTCTAGTGGTCTCAAAAGAGAGCATCATGACTCCCCAGGGGGGTCTGGGCAGATGCCGGACGGGATCTGGGGACTCCTTTTGTAGCCAACGGTAACGCACTTCGTGGTCTTCGAGTTCCCAGAACTCTATTCCTGGGTATGATTTTGAATGCCTGGAGCCAACTGTAGGCCACTTCGTGGTCTTCGAGTTCCCAGAACTCCATTCCTGGGCATGATTTTGAATGCCCGGAGCCAACGATAGGCCACTTCGTGGTCTTCGAGTTCCCAGAACTCCATTCTTGGGCATGATTTTGAATGCCTGGAGCCAACTGTAGGCCACTTCGTGGTCTTCGAGTTCCCAGAATTCCACTCCTGGGCATGATTTTGAATGCCCAGAGCCAACTGTAGGCCACTTCGTGTTCTTCGAGTTCCCATTCCCGGGCCACATTTTGAATGCTGATGCAGGCTGAGGCTGAGGCTGATGCAGGCTGAGGCTGAGGCAGGCTGAGGCTGAGGCCGAGGCTGAAGGCAGACTGAGGCTGAGGCTGAGGCAGGCCGAGGCTGAGGCTGAAGCAGGCTGAGGCTGAGGCTGAGGCTGAGGCAGGCTGAGGCTGAGGCAGGCTGAGGTGGCTGAGGCTGAGGCTGATGCAGGCTGAGGCTGAGGCAGGCTGAGGCTGAGGCTGAGGCTGAAGGTAGACTGAGGCTGAGGCTGAAGCAGGCTGAGGCTGAGGCTGAGGCAGGCTGAGGCTGAGGCTGAGGCAGGCTGAGGCTGAGGCAGGCTGAGGCTGAGGCTGAGGCTGACGCTGAGGCTGAGGCTGAGGCAGGCTGAGGCTGAGGCCGAGGCTGAAGGCAGACTGAGGCTGAGGCTGAGGCTGAAGCTGAGGCAGGCTGAGGCTGAGGCTGAGGCTGAGGCTGAGGCTGAGGCTGAGGCAGGCTGATGCGGCAGGCTGAGGCTGAGGCTGAGGCTGAGGCTGAGGCTGAGGCTGAGGCTGAGGCAGGCTGAGGCTGAGGCAGGCTGAGGCTGAGGCAGGCTGATGCTGAGGCTAAGGCTGAGGCTGAGGCTGAGGCTGAGGCTGAGGCAGGCTGCAGACGCTGAGGCAGGCTGATGCTGAGGCAGGCTGAGGCTGAGGCTGAGGCTGAGGCAGGCTGAGGCTGAGGCAGGCTGAGGCTGAGGCCGAGGCTGAAGGGACTGAGGCTGAGGCTGAAGCAGGCGAGGCTGAGGCTGAGGCAGGCTGAGGATGAGGCTGAGGCAGCTGCTGAGGCAGGCTGAGGCTGAGGCTGAGGCTGATGCAGGCTGAGGCTGAGGCAGGCTGAGGCTGAGGCCGAGGCTGAAGGCAGACTGAGGCTGAGGCTGAAGCAGGCTGAGGCTGAGGCTGAGGCTGAGGCTGAGGCTGAGGCTGAGGCAGGCTGATGCTGGCTGAGGCTGAGGCTGTGAGGCTGAGGCTGAGGCTGAGGCAGGCTGAGGCCGAGGCCGAGGCTGCAGGCAGACTGAGGCTGAGGCTGAAGCAGGCTGAGGCTGAGGCTGAGGCAGGCTGAGGCTGAGGCTGAGGCAGGCTGATGCTGAGGCAGGCTGAGGCTGAGGCTGAGGCTGATGCAGGCTGAGGCTGAGGCAGGCTGAGGCTGAGGCCGAGGCTGAAGGCAGACTGAGGCTGAGGCTGAAGCAGGCTGAGGCTGAGGCTGAGGCAGGCTGAGGCTGAGGCTGAGGCAGGCTGATGCTGAGGCAGGCTGAGGCTGAGGCTGAGGCTGATGCAGGCTGAGGCTGAGGCAGGCTGAGGCTGAGGCGAGGCTGAAGGCAGCAGGCTGAGGCTGAGGCTGAGGCTGAGGCTGAGGCAGGCTGAGGCTGAGGCTGAGGCAGGCTGAGGCTGAGGCAGGCTGAGGCTGAGGCAGGCTGAGGCTGAGGCAGGCTGAGGCTGAGGCCGAGGCTGAAGGCAGACTGAGGCTGAGGCTGAGCAGGCTGAGGCTGAGGCTGAGGCAGGCTGAGGCTGAGGCTGAGGCAGGCTGATGCTGAGGCAGGCTGAGGCTGAGGCTGAGGCTGATGCAGGCTGAGGCTGAGGCAGGCTGAGGCTGAGGCCGAGGCTGAAGGCAGGCTGAGGCTGAGGCTGAAGCAGGCTGAGGCTGAGGCTGATGCAGGCTGAGGCTGCGGCTGAGGCAGGCTGATGCTGAGGCTCAGGCTGAGGCTGAGGCTGTGACTGCGACTGCCGTTGCCACTGCGACTGTCATCGCGAATGTGACTGCGTCTGCGAGAACAGCAGAATTCTACAACTGGATTATCATCTGAATCTTAAGGGGAACGCTTCCAGATATGCTTCTACACATCGCTGTTAGGTTGCTTTGCCGGGATTTGTTGTTTCTTCTTCTTCTTTTTCTTCCTCTTCTTCCTCTTCTTCTTCTTCTAGTTCACCGAGGTAATGATGCACGGCTCGGTCGGGTCGATCCGCCTTCGGTCGGCTGCTGCGCCGCTGCGTGCTCCTGGGCTGGGTTCGGTCCGTCGGCGTCGTTTGGTTTTCGGTCGGTCTTCGGTTTCGCTGCCTGTTCGGTTGATTTGCGTGTCCTTTGCCGCCGCAGATGCCGATGCGCTGTTGTCGTAATCTGTGAAAGAGCGTGTTCTACCGCTGCTGGCGGAAAACCGGGGGGGGTCACTACCGGTTCGAACCCCTCCCCCCCCTCCGGAAAACCGGGGGGGGGGTCACTACCGGTTCGAACCCCTCCCCCCCCAGTCCATCATGAAAAGGGGGGGGGGGTCACTACCGGTTCGAACCCCCCCCCCCCCTCGAAAACCGAGGGGGGTGCGGACAGTGGTGGGGACGGTGGTGGTGGGGACAGTGGTGAGGGGACAGCGGGACAGTGGTGGGGACAGTGGGACAGTGGTGGGGACGGTAGTGGTGGGGACAGTGGTGAGGACAATGGTGGGAACAGTGGGGACAGTGGACAGTGGTGGGGACGGTGGTGGTGGGGACAGTGGTGTGGGGACAGTGGGAATGTGGTGGAAACAGTGGGACAGTGGACGGTACAGTGATGGTGGGGACAGTGGTGAAGGCGGTGGCGAGGACAGCGGTGGGACAATGGGACAGAGGTACAGTGGGGACAGTGGTGGGGACAGTGGGGACAGTGGTGGGAACAGTGGGACAGCTCGGTGGGACAGCGGAGGAGTCAGTGGGACAGTGGGGACAGTGGGGATAGTCGGGCAGTGGTTGGGGCCGTGGAAAAAAGTGGGGAGAGTGGAACCGTGGTGGGAACAGTGGTGGGGACAGTGGGGACAGTGCAACAGTGGTGGTGGCACTGGTGGGGACAGTAGGGACGGTGGGGGAACCAGTGGGGGGGACAGTGGTGGTGAGGACAGTGGTGCTGGGAACAACAGTGGGGGATGTGGTGCGGACGGTGGTAGGGACCGAGAGTCGTTTGCTGGCGGTGAGTGGGGAGGAGTAGGGAGGGGTTCGAACCGGTAGTGACCCCCCCTTCTGGTTTTCGAGGGGGGAGGGGTTCGAACCGGTAGTGACCCCCCCTTCCGGTTTTCGAAGGGGGGGGTTCGAACCGGTAGTGACCCCCCGCAGTTTTCCAGGGGGAGGGGGGGGGATGGGTGAGGGGGGGTTTTGCCGGGGGAGGGGGGGGGGTCCAGCAGGGAGGGGAATTTTCGGAGGGGGGGGGGGGGACCCTCGGGTTCCGGGGGAAGAGGGGGGAATTTTCCACAGTAAAGCGGCGGTGGATCACGCTCTCTCTAATATGTGGAGATCCTTCTGCGCTCGAGGCTTCGCGGCCCGTTCAAAAAGATCGCACCTCCCGTCCGCAGGAAATGGCTGCGGCGACGTGATGCGAAGCGATGCTAGACATGAGCAGGCATCAGCAGGCTCTCGCGCGCCTCGCTCCGACTGATGCGTGCCTCCCGTTCGCGACGCCTCCCACCTCCGAGCCTCAGCACAGCAGGCTTGTTGCGCGTTGACGCGGCGGCGGCCCCTCCAAACGCGGGCGTTCAAGGATGATGCCGCCAGGTGCCGGGGTTCGCCCGACATCGCACGATCTGCGCTATCGGAACTCCGCGACCGCTCAAAGTTTCAGTCGGGCGTGTCCCACTGCAGGAGGAGTATCCCGAAAAAGTCCCCCAAAATAGTCTGGGGGCGGTTTGTTGAGTATGTTTATCAGCAATTTTGATTATATTTTGATTTTTTTCGTCGAACATCTCCCTGTAGGAGGACATATCCGACCTAACTCAAAGTGGAACGATCCGCGCGGGGTCAGAAGCCAGCGCCAGCGTCGTCGCGGCGTGAACCCGCCGCGGGCTGGGCGCCTGCGCGCGCAGTGCCTCCCGCTGGTCGCAGGTGGCGAAGCGGAAGTTGCCGGCCTACGAGATGCGGGACGTGGTGACCGAGGCCGCGCGGAGCGGCTGTCCTCGGTCCCAGTCGACCACGCGCAGAGGGGGGCAGGGGGAGTGGGGGAGGCTTCTTCCACAGCACCCCTGCTTCTCAGAAGGCGCGGGCCTTGTCTGTAGGTGTAGTTCAGGCCGGCTCCCTCTGCTCCCTCTAAGGAGCAGCCTCCTTCCAAGAAGCCTTCCCACCTGTCCGTCACTCAGGACAGTACAGCGGCTTCAGCGGCCGCGGTTTCGCAGCAGCGGGGGCGCAGAATTTGGGCCGCCCAGATTGGGGTCAGAGCAGATGACGTCGGAGGATCTCTGAATCGCCGATGCATCGGCGATGCGGCTCGATCGGGAGCTCGATTTTCGCCATCTCGGCGTCGCCGATGCATCTGCTGAGACCCCATGAGGGCGGCCTCCACAAGGAGGCAGGAAGGAAGAGTAGAAGGAGCGTCAGGCAGAGCACTCGAGTGAGTCAGCTAACCTCGCCCACTCCCACCCGCCCTGCCATCATATGAGAATCTCTGTCGGCGCAACTAGATATTGAGACTGGCGTGCGTTCCCACCCAGCCAATGGAGGGTCAGAACATCCTTGTGCGACGGTTCGGCAAGAGCACCATTCAGTCCTTTTGCCCGTGCCACAGCTCCGCTTTCGACGACTGGATTAGCGAAAGACGTGAGCCGAGTCTCAGCGGGAGCGCCAGTTTCAGGCGAAATCCTCGCGGCGCATAGGCGAGAGTAACATTTCGCCAACTCTCCGCCAACCCTGCATTCGGCACAATTGCGAGCCAACAAACTGGGCGTTGTGCCGAAGCGGGGGGGGCTGATTCCAGCTAAAACTACACGGCTTTGAGGCGAGAGCGATGTTTCGTTGTTTCCCATGAGGTGCGCGCAGCGTCCTACTCCCGCCACGCAGTTTGCAACGTCCGTGATGACACTTCCATGAAGAAACCCAACAACAAAAACGTCGAGTTAGAATTTTTGTTTGACGGATGGACAGAACACCCCACAGACCGAATTGTTATCGGTTGGCCGGCCAGGTGGCAGAGTACGGGTATGTATCAAACCCACGATTGCGGAGGAGATCGCCAGGTATTGCAGGGGGCTCGAGCCCAAAAGTGACGAAGCCCGCCGCCAGCGCCAGCAATCTGCCGATGTTTGCCGAAGCAGCCTGCGCAGCGCAAGCCCGCCTTGAGCGCACGCGCAGTGTTTGCCAGAGCAATCAGCCCGCCGCAGGCGCCGATCCTTTTCTCGGCAACGCCCCGCCACCTGCAGGCGGTAATTGTTCTCAGTTCAGGGTTCAGTCGGGCGTGTCCCCCTGCAGGAGGAATGTTCGGGAGAAGGCAAAACATGGCCTGAGGACCCTGCTTCGACCATGTTTGAGTAGTTCTTCTGCATTTCCTGCCTACTGTTTACCCTTCGTCCAAGATCCCCCTGTAGGAGGAGGACGCGCACGGCCTAAGTTTGGTGGGAGCGGGTCGCGCGAGACTCCCGCGCGGCACGGGCCATCCACGACCCAGGACCCGGAGCGCTCCAGCGCGGGACCCCTCCCCGGCCCAGGAGCAGGTGGAGGCCCCCCGCCCCCCCCCCCCCCTCGCCCTGAAGTCGGGCGTGTCCCTCTACAGGAGGAATCTACGAAACTGGTCAAGAAATAATGTGGGGATGATTTTTCGACTATTGTTGTTAACTTGGTGTGTGTGTGTGTTGTGTGTGTGTGTGTGTATGTGTGTGCGTTGTGTGTGTGTGTGTGTTGTGTGTGTGTTGTGTGTGTGTTGTGTCTGTGTCTGTGTGTGTATGTGTGTGTGTGTGTGTGTGTGTGTGTCCGTGTTTGTGTCTGTGTCTGTGTTTGTGTCTCTGTGTGTGTGCGCGTGTGCGTGTGTGTGTGCGTGCATGTGTGCGTGTGTGTGCGTGTGTGTGTGTGTGTGTTTGTGTGTGTGCGTGTGTGTCTGTGTGTGTGTGTCTGTGTGTGTGTGTGTGTGTGTGTGTCTGTGTGTGTTGACTATGTTTTATGTTTCGTCCAAAATCCGCCTGTAGGAAGACCCGCCCGACCTGACCCTACCCCGGCGGCCCTAAAATCGGTAACTCGCGGTCGGTGGCGCGGCCCGCGTCAGGGCCGGTGTTCTCCATTCTGAGGCAGGGTCGCTCCACTTGTCTCAGGGCCGTACTTCGTGTGTTGCTGATCCCACAGGTGGGCAGCTCATTCGTGACGGGGCCCATCCAGTCCAATCCTACCCGCTACCCGAGCAAAGCTTTCCAAACAATTCCCCCCCATTCAGCAGCAGACTTGAAGCTCAGTTCAGCCCGTCCTGTGTTGCTCACACGCTGGATCGGAGCATGCGGTTCTAGGTTGTGACTTCTTCAGAATCCAGTGCCTCAAAGTTTGAGTTTCCAACAGGGCGCAGAACAAGGCTAGTAGTTCCCTCCAAACCTGGCTCGTGGGTGAAACATCATTACATTGTCATGGCCCTGAGTGTTGAATCGTGTAGCAGCTACAGGTGTGAACTGCTGCACTTTTCGAATTTGAGTTTTCGCCTGACACGTGTTCATCCTTACGTCTTTGCAGTCCATGGCAGTTGCAAGGCGATCTGTTTTCGATCTGGAGTCATCCCTCGATATTGCTAAGGGATCACCGAGCTTGAAGTTCCGAGCAGCTGTACGCTGAAAGACAGTTCGTTGCCAACATTGTATTACTGGTCCGACGCCGCGCACATGTCCCGAAGTTACGACGGGCTATAGAATGGCCTTCGGCTCATCCTGCCACCGTGCTTGGGTTGTGGGTATTAAGCAGGTATCTCGTAGGAGGGAGGCCTTTCGGGGGCCGCTTGGAGGCAGTTTGGAGGCCTCCCGGGGGCCGTTTTGGTGCCTCTTTGGGGCCTCTTGGGGACCTCGGGGCCTCAGGGGGCCTCTTGGGGCCTCCTGACCGCCTCTTTGGGCCTCCTGGGGGCCTCTTCGGGCGGAAGGCTAGACTTTTCGGTTCGTGTTCCATTTCTTGGGCCCCTTTTGGGGCCGTCTTTGGGCCTTCTTGGGCCGTCTCGGGCGCCTCTTGGGCTGTCTTGGGGCGCTCTTAGGCCGTCTTGGGGCCCTCTTGGAGGCCACTTTGGCTGTGGATGGTCTTGGGGGCCTGCCTCTTGGGCCATCTCGGAGCGTCAGGAAGGCGGAAAGGCGAGAATGCCAAAATCCTTCAAAAACCCAAGGACAAACCAATGACATCTGCCTCTCGGGAGGCCCCTTGGAGGCCTCCTGGGCCAAGCGGGGCGTCGTGGAGGCCTCTTGGGCCATCTTGAGACCATCGTGGGCGTCCTGGAGCGATCTTTCGGCGGCTCGGGCCCCTGTTGGACCGTCTTGGGGGCCTCGTCGCGCACATGTCTCGAAGTGACGACCAGCCATATGGATGGCACGTGCTGTGGGCTCTGTGAGCATGTCGAGAAGGATGTCGCCCTCCCTCATTATTCTTCCGCCTCTCCCTCCTGCGTTGTCAGGCAATGGAGCAGTACCCTGTCGTTGTGGTGGTGGGTGCGACTGGCTGCGGCAAGTCGACGCAGCTGCCGATAGCTTGGTACGAGTGGCGCAAGGCTTGTATTGCCCTCCTCTTTCACCATAATTCTCGGCATTCGGCGCATCGCAGTTTCATTGTCCATGGAACGCGGCGCTTCGAACCGGAGCAGTTTGCTTTCAGACAGCAGGGGCGAATGCAGTCGCAGGACGGTGGGGGGGCGTTTGCGGAGCGATGTTGCTGCTCATCTTCAGGAGTCCTCAGAAGACGTTCCAGAACCCCCAGAGTCGAGAGGCCACCAGTAACCTCCAGGAACTTATCAAGACCTATCCCTTCTCATGCTAGGTCAGGGGGCTGTCATGCTGCATCCCCGACGCGCCGTGATCTGGACTGGAGCACGTTGTTATCCATCCCGACTTGGCTGATGCGATGCGGTGCGATTCTCCGACCTCGTCTGCTCTGGCCCCATGTGTCATGGCGCCAACATCGCAGAGCGGATTTCGTTAGGAAAACGATATGGTGGGCCCGGAGGGTCCTGGAGACTTTCGTTCCAGATTTCGAGGTTAATTCCGTGCGGTCTGTTTCAGGCCAGGAATCAGGACCAACAAGAATCCACGCAAAATCCACTTCGTTTTTCGCTTGCCGCTTCGGGCTTCGTTGCGCCCAGATAATCCCAAATCGCACCTGACCACCATTCCTGGGACTAAAACACAACGAATAAACATGACCAATACGCGTCCTGACAGTCTTACATCGCGCCAGATCGCAGTTACTGGGATTTCAATCATACGAATCCTTGAAAACGTGATGTGCGCGGCTCGAATGCGAGAGCCACGACTTGAAAAGGAATCGCTCTCTATTTCTGAAACTGTGGCAAACTGTAACACGAGTGTGCGCGGCGCTCAGGCGAGAGCCACATTTTGAAACCCGCCCACCCTCCATCCGTGAAACGATTGCAGACGTTTAAGACGAGATTGCGCTGCGCTTAGGCGAGAGCCACACTTTGACAACCACCTGCCTTCCATCCGTGAAACAGTGGCAAGTGTGACTGCAAATGTGCGCGGCGCTGAGTCGAAAGCAACATGTTGGAAACCATTCGCCATCTATCCCTCAAAATGTTGTGGAGTGCAAGCTCCAGGATCAATCATGGTGAGGAGGTCTTAGGCGAAACGCCTGGCCCGCCCTGCCAACACGTCTGGGGGTGGGACAGGGAGGAGCTACTTGTGGGGAAAATGGAATGCAACGAACGGTGAAGAGAAGAAGGATGATGAGCAGGCCTTCGCGGATGCATTGTTGTGAGAGTTTCTTGGAGGACTCTTAGAGCCATTTAAGGGCCATCTTGCCCCTCGGGGTCCTGTTGGGGCCCTCTTGGAGCTTTTGTGCGGAGTCTCGGGGCAGTCTAGAGGCTTTGTTGGGACGTCTTTTGGCTCTCTTGGGCCGATCTTGTGCCCCATGGCTCAAAGGGGGGGGTGTCGTCCTTCATGTTCCCCACCCCTCGACGGCCGAAAATTGGTCTCTTGGGGCCCTCATGGCATCATTTAGCCCTCTTGGGGCTCTCTTGGACCATGGTGGAGCCATCATGATGCTTCAAAGGCTCGTCGGAAACGAAAAGGCGAGAGGGCAAACATCATTGACGTCCTTATGTAATTGTGGTGGCGATGATGGCCTTTTGGGGGGTTCCTTTGGAGCCGTCTTGTGGCCCTCTTAGGGCCTCTTGGAAGTGTGGCGGAAACTGTACTAGACCATTTCCGGTTATTTTGAGCAATCTTGGAGGCTATCTTGAAGCATCGATTTCTTTGCCCGGCCCCCGTCCAGACCCAGTGGACGGGGCAAGGGCGAGGTAAAGACCTCCCGAATAGGGGAAAAAGTGATTTTGCCCCATGCGCCCAGAGGGGCTGGTGGGATTAGCCCCGAGACTATTGGACAGCCAATTATGAAGACACGCCTACAGTGGGGACGCGCATCAAGAAACCATCTGCAACGTCCCGCGGGCTTCCGGGATCTCGTTGCATTCAGGGTGTCTTTGGTTTCCCCCCAATGGCACCTCGCTTGCGGAGTTTGTAGGGCGGCTTCTTGCGGGGGGTTCTTGCGGCCGCGGCCGCATTGTACTTCGGGTGAGGTATGGGCCCATCTTCGGACCCCCTTCGCAAGTCCTGTGTTTTCCCCCACCTTTCCTCTCTCGCATGCCCACTGGACGTCTCGCAATCAACGTGTGCGCACTGCATGTTCGTGAAGGCGCGCTGTGACATGTGCTCTCGCGGCACAACGAGCAATGAGTAAGTCAATTTAGCACGTTGCCCAGAAACGTGGCTGGGTGAGGGAAGTGACGAGGCTTACGAATGCCCCCTCGAGTCTCGCTCGAGCCCCCCCAGAAGCTCCCAAGTGGGCCCCCTCGAGGGGTCCCTTCCTGGGACTCGGGGATGGGCTCCGAGCGGGGCCGAAGAGGCTCCCGTCCAGCTTTCTCGCCGCCTTCCTCATCCTCTCCTGTCGATTCGGTCGTGGACCCCTTGTTAAAACTATGTAATGGCCTTCGGCCCATCCCGCCCTCGTGCCTGGGTTGTGGGTATGAAGCCTATTTGATGTTCGTTGGGACCGTGTGGGAGGCTTCTCGGGGGTCTCTTGGAGTCAGTTTGCACGCCTCTTGAGAGCTATTTGGGGGTACTCTTGGGGCCTCGTTTGGGCCCCTTGGGGCCCTCTTGGGGCCTTTTGGGAGCCTCTTGGGTGCCTCTTGGGGCCGCCACTGAGGACCGCCGACTGTCCACCGATTGCTGCCGACTGCCACCAGAGACGCATGGATAGCAATGGGTCCATGAACGAAGGTGTCATCCTCCTAGCTCCTCCCTGCCTCCCCTCCCCCTATCCCCGTCCCTCCCTCCCTCCCTCGTCCCTCCCGGACCGGCATGAGGCCAGCAATCCGGAGGCGCAGTGCAAGGTCATCTGCTGCCAGCCGCGCAAGATCGCGGCCGTGTCCCTGGCGGAGCGCGTGGCCCTGGAGAACGGGCAGGCCGCCTCCTTCCCTCGCCACACGACGCTGACGCTGTGGGCACGTTCGAGCAAGCGTCGGCGCCCTCAAGCTCGCGCCCCCGACCAGCGCCAGGGGCGAGGGAGGAACAGGACTGGTGGACCGAGATGGCAGAGAGAGGAGGGGAACGACAGTAACGACGCCAACTGCGGGATGTGCTCTTCGGACGGGGCCGGGACGAGGATACACCCGTTCCAGGGCGATCCAGAACGCTCCCAGAGCGTTCCAGAACGCTCTGAGAAGGCCGCGGCGCCCGAGACATCCTCCAGAACCGCCAGACCTCAGAGATCCTCGACCTATCCTCACCCGATTCTATCCTCGTCCTGGCTCCGTCTCAGCTCTCGTCCCTCGACGCGCCCTCCCCCTCCACCCCATCCTCGTCGTCGTCCTCCCCGTCCTCGCCCCAGTCCACGCTGCCTACTCGATATCCATCCCCCTGCCGCCACCGCAGCCTGCCTCAGCGTGATCCCTCGTCCGCGCCCGCTGCCGCGGGAACGGAGGCCTGCCTGGCACGAACGGGGGACCTGGTTTTCCATGGGGGGATGACAGCCAGGCCACCAACCTTCCTACATACTGAGGGCCACCAGTGGGGGGGGAATGCTGGGGATGCCCTCTCCCTCCCTCCCCCCCTCCCTCCCTCACCCTATCCTCCCCCTCCCTCCCCACACCCCCTCCCTCCCTCCCTCCCTCCCTCCCCGCAACCAGCCTCCGCCCCCCCCCCCCCCCCATCCAACCGCCAGCCCGCGGCGGCCTCAGGCCGTCGGCGGCCTGGTGGGATACAAGATCCGCTTCGAGACGAAGGCTGGGGCGGAGCAGGAAGCACGGAGGGGAGGAGGGGCGAGGGGAGAGGAGGAGGAGGAGGAGGAGGAGGAGGAGGAGGAGGAGGAGGAGGAGGAGGAGGAGGATGTTGGCGGAGCGCGCAGCCCTGGTTCGCTCCTGCGTCGCCGCTTTGTCCCGCCACCAGGGAGTGGAGCCTGGCCCCGGCCAATTTGTTGGAAGCCCCTTTCGTCATGCCCTGGGGGGAAAACAGAGTGCGGTGTGGACCGATCACGACCAGAGCTCAGTGAGGTCCCTAGTCTCTATTGCCAGCTGGACCCAGCAGAGGCAGCGTGATCACGGGATCGCGTCGCCTGGGGTATGCGTGGCGTGACACGGCGACCTGGGTTCAGTTCTGCATCGACGGGTGCACTGTCTTGGTGGTCAGTACGCCGCCGTGATTTCTGTGACCCTCGTGCTCTAGCCGCGTTGCGTCAAATGGAGTCTTGGAGTCAGGATGCGGAGTTTGTTGCTTGCGTTTTTTCTTCCAAGCCTGATGGACTTGCCTCCTGTCTCGATCCGCTCGTACGGCCCTGAGCTCCAGACTACTCGTTGGGTCGGCCGCCCAGCTTCGGGTCATTCGGTCGGGATTGATTCTTTTTCGGATGGGTCAGCCGTGCTTCCTGATTTTGAAGAGTGGGAGTTCGGTCGTAGGGCAGACCTGGCCCTTGGCCACGACCGACGAGGGGGTGCCTGGGCGCTATGGTTTGCATCGCCTGTGGAGGGTGCGCCTGGGCCGCCGCGTTGTCCCTTGCGAAACCGTGCCATAGAAGGCCGCCCACTAAGCGCACGTAAGCGCACGAGGCGCCAGTTGACCCGAGTTTGGGTGGGCGTTTTCCCGCCATGGAGGGAGGCCCGTATCGGGGCGGGCGTTCCGGGCCGGTTTCGGGACCCACGGCCGCGAACCCGTTGTCCCTTGGTGCTCCCCGTGAGCTTAGTGGAGCGTTGGCTCGGTCATCTCACCTGCCCGTTCAGCATGTCTGGGGGGCGCGGTGGTCGCGAGGGGACTTGCCGAAACGGTTCGGTGTCCCCGCTCAGCAGCCCGAGTTCTGGAAACGTGTTGAGGCCGAGCCTCTTTTGGATTGCGATTGAATCGTGTGGGGCACGCGACGATGATTGCGGACAGGTCGCGCGCCTGAATGGATTGATGGTTGAATGGGAAGTGGAGGAGGAGGACGAAGAGGAGGAGCAGGAGGAGGAGGAGGAGGAGGAGGAGAACGAGGAGAACGAGTAGAACGAGGAGAACGAGGAGAACGGAGAGGAGGAGGAGGACGAGGAGGACGAGGAGAACGGGGGGGACCACGAGGACGAGGAGGACGAGGACGAGGAGGACAAGGAGGACGAGGAGAACGATGACGAGGAGGACGAGGAGGACGAGGAGGACGAGGAGGACGAGGAAGACGAGGAGGACGACGAGGACGACGAGGACGAGGAGGAGGAGCACGAGGAGGACGAAGAGGACGAGGAGGACGAGGAGGACGAGGAGGACGAGGAGGACGAGTAGGAGTTCGCGAGAGGGCGTCGCGGCCGTCATTTTTGCGGGTCCAGGTCCGTCGGTTTCGGTCCCAGGCCGTTTTCACTACGTAAGGAGGTTTGTTCACCGCCGAGGAGGTTTGTCCACCGCCGATTAAAGTCTGGGCGACAACGGCCGTGATCGGCACTCCCCACCCCACCCACCCCCAGATCAGGTCAGGCTATTTTGCCCACATTTGCAAAGGATTCGTTGAGGATTTCTTAAGGATCCCCAGAGCCCCCCCGATCCCTGAGGGGAGCGAGGAGGAGAAGAGAGGGGAACAAGGAGGAGGAGGAGGAGAACAACGGAGAGAAGGAAGAGGAGGAGGAGGACGAGGAGGAAAAAGGAGAGAAGGAAGAGGAGGAGGAGGAGGATGAGGAGGATGAGGAGGAGGAAGAGGAGGAGGAGGATGAGGAGGAGGAGGAGGAGGAGGAGGAGGAGGAGATGCACATGCTCGCACATTTCGTCGTTGGCGGTTTGGGGGCGTTCGGGGGAGCCTACGTAGAGCCCACGGACGCCTCCGGATGTTTCTAGAGGCCCCTGGAGGCCAGCGGCGACGAGTCTCCGGGTGATTCGTCAGCCCCCGTTCGCCTCGCAAGCACGTTGCGCTGCTCTCCTGCGTGCGCCGTGCTGTGGTCCGCGCGGTGCTCTCTGGCGCGCCGTCGTGCTCGCGGGCCTTGGCGGTGCGCCCAGGGGCGTGTCGGTGCTCCCGGCGGCCCCCCGCCGTGAGGAGGTCGGGGGGGACGAGCTCCCTCCCCCCCCCATCGCGCCCGTGATCGCGAATGGCAGAAGACGGGCTCCAGAGAGTTTGCGCAGCGCCACGCCTGGCAGGGCCGTGGGGGAGACTCTCCGCGCGCGCACGCGGGATGGTGCCGGGCTTCTGGTTGGCGTAATTGTGCCGGGCTTCTGGTTGGCGTAATTACGAAGCGCCTGCTGCTGCCGGCTCCGCGCGGGCCCTGGTGGCCACCACGGGCCCCCAGGAGAGGGGCACGGGCAGCGGCTTCGAGCACAGCCGGAGCGGAGGCGGCGTCGGACGCCTCGCAGCGCCCCTCGCGGGCTCGAGGACGGCCGCGCTTCGCGCGTCGCGACCTGGTCTGCGGAGGCGTCCCCCTCTGCAGGCTGGCATGAAGTCGGGCACGTCCCTCTACAGGAAGAATGTGTAGAGATCATCAAGAGCAGTGTGGGGACGATGTGGCGATCTCTGTTCTGACTTCTTGGAGGTACTCTTTTTGCGTGTGTGTTGACTCGTCGTGCAACATCCCCCCTGCAGGAGGGCGTGCCCGACCTCTGCCTGGCAGCGGGAGCGAGCGCGAGGATGGTCGCGCCTCGCGCCGGGCCAGAGCCGAGGACACGCAGTAAAACACACGGACTGCGGCGCGTGGGTCCCTTGGCATCGCTCGTACGTGCGCATTTTTCCTTCGGCACGCGCGAAACCGAAAAAACATAGGGAATGGACGTCCGAGCGATGGCCAGGTCCGCGGCGGGCCCCGCTTCGCACGCGCTCGGCGCGCTCCGTCTCGCCAGGTCGGGCGGCACCGGCTCCGCGTGGTCGGGAGCTGCCGTCCCCGATGCCCGGGTCCGGCGCCTGCGCTCGAGTCGGGCATCTACCTACAGGAGAAAGATCAGGAGGGAAAGAAACACACAGACACAATTATTCGTCGATTCCCAGGAAGATATGGGAAACTATGGGAAGTGGGGGGGAAGACAGAAACCCAGAAAATATGGGAAAATATGGGGAATCCTTTTATTAGTGTGTATTTATTTGTGTGTCCCAGGGCCCCTTCAAAAGAGTCGAGAACGATGCTTCTACCCACAGGAGAAGGAGTCGAGGACGATGCTCCTCGACGAGGCTTCTACCCTCTGCGCGTGTGTTCTGACTGCTGCGGAGTTGTCGTCCAGGATGCGCCTGTTGGAGGACATGCCCGGCCAAGGCTCGCTTCGATTCCTCCGATTCGATTCGATTCGATTTCGATGGCTTCAGACTCCGATTCGATTCGATTTCGGATTCCGATTTGGAGCTCGATTCCTTACTGGAGGCATACGTGCCTGCCGATTTCCGCCGATTCGACTTCTCCCGGCTCGGCTGCCGATTCTGCCGATCCGACTCATTTCGATCGCCGATCCGATTTCTCGATTCGATTCTGGGCTCTCCTGGGCACGCGTCGACCCCCACGCGCCCCTTCGTCGCCGGGAGGGGGCCCGATGGCCCACCCCGCCCAGGAACGTGGAGGCTCGCTCTTCGGGGCCTCTCGCCGAGGCGTTGGCGACGCATTCCAGGTCGACGTCCGCTCCCAGCCGCCCCCCCCGTGAGCCAGCCCCCCTGGTGTTTCAGTCAGGCCTGTCCGTCGGGGGCCGAGATTTCGAGTTTACTCGATTCTTAGGCTTACGCCACACCGCCGACCCCTTGTTTATGCCAATCTGGGGGTAGTAGAAGCTGCGAAGGGGTGAAAAGGCGAGTGATATTTGTTTGGTGTCTGTTCGCCGCCACCGCCAGAGGGTCTCGGGCAGTTCCGCGGGGAGGTCCGAGCGGACAGCGACACTGCGAGTTTTGGAGCCACTCGGGGGCCGTTTCGGAGCCTCTGGGGTGCTTCTTGGGGGTTCCTTGGGGCGTCTGGGCGGCCTCGTGAGGGCCTCTGGGGGCCTCTTGGGGCACTCTTGGGGCCCCCTGGGGCTCCTGGGGGCAGAAAGCTAGAGTTTCAACATGTTTGGTCGCCCTCTTGGGCCCCTCGTGGTGCCGTCTTGGAGCCCTCTTGGGCCGTCTTGGGGACCTCTTGGGCCGTGTTGGGGCCGTCTTGGGCCGTCTGGAGGCCGTCTTGGGGGCCTCTTGGGCCATCTTGGGGCTGTCTTTGGGGCCTCTTTGGCCGTCTTGGAGCGTCGGGAAGCCGAAAAGGCGGAAAAGCAAAACACATCGAAAAACACTATGGAAAATCAACAATTTTAGACTCTTGGGGCCCTCTTGGGAGGCTTGTTTGGGACCTCGGGGGCCGTCTTGGAGACCTCTTGGCCCGTCTTGGGGCCATCTTGGGCGTCTTGGAGCGGTCGTTTGGCGTCTCGGGGCCTTCGTGGGCCGTCTTGGAGGCCTCTTGGAGCCTTCTTGGCCCGTCTTGAGGCCCTCTTGGGCCCGGAAAAGCCCTGGAACCGCTCGTCCCGGCCGTGCTGCGCTCGTCCTGGCCCCCTCCCCGCCTCCAAATCGGCCCTCTTGGGCCGTCTTGAGGACCTCTTGGGCCGTCTTGGGGCCGTCCTGGGCCGTCTGGAGGCCGTCTTGGGGGCCTCTTGGGCCATCTTGGGGCTATCTTTGGGGCCTCGTCGCGCGTCTTGGAGCGTTGGGAAGCCGGAAAGGCGGAAAAGCAAAAAACGTCGAAGAACACTATGGAAAATCAACAATTTTAGACTCTTGGGGCCTTCTTGGGAGACTTGTATGGGACCTCGGGGGCCGCCTTGGAGACCTCTTGGCCCGTCTTGGGGCCATCTTGGGCGTCTTGGAGGGGTCGTTTGGCGTCTCGGAGCCTTCGTGGGCCGTCTTGGAGGCCTCTTGGAGCCTTCTTGGCCCGTCTTGAGGCCCTCTTGGGCCCGGAAAAGCCCTGGAACCGCTCGTCCCGGCCGTGCTGCGCTCGTCCTGGCCCCCTCCCCGCCTCCAAATCGGCCCTCTTGGGCCGTCTTGAGGACCTCTTGGGCCGTCTTGGGGCCGTCTTGGGCCGTCTGGAGGCCGTCTTGGGGGCCTCTTGGGCCATCTTGGGGCTATCTTTGGGGCCTCGTCGCGCGTCTTGGAGCGTCGGGAAGCCGGAAAGGCGGAAAAGCAAAAAACGTCGAAGAACACTATGGAAAATCAGCAATTTTTGACTCTTTGGGCCTTCTTGGGAGGCTCATTTGGGACCTCAGGGGCCGTCTTGGAGACCTCTTGGCCCGTCTTGGGGCCATCGTGGGCGTCTTGGAGCGGTCGTTTGGCTTCTCGGAGCCTTCGTGGGCCGTCTTGGAGGCCTCTTGGGGGCTTCGTGGCCCGTCTTGAAGCCCTCTTGGGCCAGGAAAAGCCCCGTGGAGCGCTCGTCCCGGACCCCCCCCCCCTCCAAATCGACCGGACCGGGCTCCCGGGGGAGGGGTTTGGGGAGGGGGAAGCATCTCACACGCCGATGATCCCCAAGGGGTCGGCGGATTTCTTTTGATCCTGTTCGGACTACCGAATTTTCAACTGTTCGTCCAAGATCCGCCTGCAGGGGGGGACGCGCCCGGCCCAAGCCTGGTGGCTCTCGGCCCGCACCTCGGGCCCGGCCTGGGCCCGCGCGCCCGGGCCCGCGGAGCCCGCGGAGCCCGCGCTCCACGTCCGCGCGCGTGCGCGCGCGCTCGCGCGCGGGGCGCAACGCTCTCCTCGGCGGCCTGGGCCGCGCGGGGGCACGGGCAGCTCGGCTCGGGTCGGGCACGCCCCTCGGCGGGAGGAGTGTCCCGAAGTGCTGGCAAAAATAGTCCGGGGACGATTTGTCTAGTATTTCTGTTGGCCATTTTTATGCATATGTTTTTGGGGGTATTTTTGGTGTGTCGTCCAGAATCCGCCTGCGGGGGGACGTGCCCGACTCAAAGCTCGGCAGGGAAGGGTCTGGGAAGGGTGGCCGCCGCTGCGAGGCCTCCCGGGACACGGACGTGCTGTACTGCACCACCGGGGTGCTGCTCCGCGCGATGGTGCGCGGCCTATATCGGGCTCCCACGATCCTCCTGAGGAGGAAATGGCACCGATACCGCTACCGTTCCCGCGTTTTCCCCCCTTGGGGGCCTCCTGGGAGGCTCTTGTCGCCACAGCTGGATTCGCCTCGAAATTCTGGTCAGAACGTCAGAGGAGGAAGAGGTACCCATACCTCTACCCTTCGCCCGTTTTCCCCGTTTTGGACCTCCTGGGAGGCCTTCGTCGCCACCGCTGGATTCGCCTCGAAATCCTGGTCAGAATGCACCCCGGGAGAGGTCCGGGGAGTAGCGGTATCAGTACTTTTCGGTGCCCCCAGAACGCACCCCAGGAGAGGTTTGGGGAGTAGTGGTATCGGTACCTGTTGGTTTTCCCAGTTCCGCCCGGGCCCGAGCTGGCATCACACCATTCCCCCCCCTTCCGCTGCTCCTTTCCCTCTTCCTCCTCTCCAAATCGCCCAGGTGGGGCCCGAGGATGGCGCCGCATCGCCGATTGCATCGGCGATGCGGCGCGACGTGGAGCCCGACCTTCTCCGCGCCGGCGGCGCCGATGCAGCGGCGGCGTCGACGATGCATCGCAGATGTATCGTCAATACGGCGCGATCCTTCGGCCCCATCTATCAGCCACGCGCAGAAGGGGGTGGGGGGAGGGGGGAGGACTTCTTAGAAGCACCCCTGCTTCTTGGAAGGCGCGGGCCTTCTCTATAGATGGGGGGCCGGAGCCTTTTGAGAAGCAGCCTCCTTCTAAGCAGCCCTCCCCCCTCCCTCCACCCCCTTGTGCGCGCCGCCAAATCTGCGCGGGCCCCATTTGGGAGGCCTCCGTCCTCTCCCTCCCCTCCCTGCCGAGAGTGCAGGAGGGGCACTCGCCTTCAAGGTCTGGGTGCGCTGCGCGGGAACCCCCTCCCAGGGTCATCCCAATCGCGCGCTAGCTTTGGCATGCAGTCTCGGTAGAACTACTCCAGAGACCCCACGACCTCCGCCGCCGCGTCTCCTCCCTCCCTCCCTTCCTCCTTCCCTCCCTCATCCCCCTCGGCCCTCCCTCGTTCCTCGTTCCTCCCTCCTCCCCCCTCCGCCCTCCCTCCCCCTCCCTCCCCCCTCCTCCGCCATCCCTCCCCCTCCCTCCTCATCCCCTCGCCCCTCGCTCCTCCCTCACTCCTCCATCCCCTTCGCCCTTAGCACTGAGAGAGCGATCCCGGCGACAGGGAGAGTGAGGTTGACTGGCAAGAGGAGCACTAGGTTAGGTGAAGAGGCTTTGCCTGATATCCCACCGCCTGCCCTCAGGAGAGGCGCAGTGGCCAAGTGCCTCCCCACTCCGACCTGCACCCCGACTCGTCCTCCGAGGCCTCTCTCGCTTCCTGCCCCCCCCCCCCCTGCTGGTGAAGTGCGGCCCCCGAGAGCCCAGTTCCCCGCGGGCCCTGGTGCGAGGAACCACCCCCCCTCCCTCCGCCCGCCGAGGCCCTCGACCCCCCCTCGTCAGCCCAGCCGGACCCGCCTCGAGGTCGGCATCCTGCGGTTGGTGGCGAGAGCCCCCCGGAGACTTCCTGACGCACCGGGGCCTTCGACGGGGGAGTGGGGCTCGGCCCGTTTTGATCTACGGGGCGCCCAGGTGGCCTCAGGGATGCCTCCGACGCCGGGGTGCGCCTGGGGGCGTTTTTGATCCCCCTCCCCCATGGCAAGTGCCCGCTTCTCAGCGCACTCGAGGGACTCGGGTGTACTTGTTGTGGCTTGCGGTCTTCCATCCGCGGGCTAGAGTTGAACCGACCCGTGCCCCTGATGAGCCCGCCGCCGCCGCCCCGCCCTTCTCCTCCGGGTTCCTCCGCCCCTCGCTCCTGCCCTCGCCCCCCTGCGCCCCCCACGTCCGCTCCCTCCCCCCTGGGGGGTGCGAGCGCGGCCAGCCCGTGAGAGGGAGGGGCCCGCTGCCGGGGGTGCTGCAGCGCCCCCAGCGGGTCACGCTCAGAGGCAGCTGCTGTGTTGGCTTCGTCGTCGCGAATAAGCCGACCGGTAGCCTGAGTCGGGCGTTGGCAGAATTGGGTTCACTGGGACCTGGTTTAGTGATGTGTGCCAGGCTGGGGGACGCCCCCCCCGCCCGGTCCACTCTAATAACTGGAACTGCCGCCACCGGAAAGAACACTAGCTGCGGCAGACTTGGTTCAGTGATTTTGGCCAACTTAGGGGCTCCGGGGCCCTAATTACTAACCGGGTCCCCTTACTTGGGGTCCTGGCGTAGTAGAAACCCAGGGTTCGCTAGGGACTGACTGGCTTCCCCCAAAGTAGCGGAAAACTATCCCAAACCCTCCCGAAGTTCTTCGAAAAGCTTCCCGGAACCCTTGCCAGAGGGTTCTTGGAAGGTTCCAGGAAGGTTTCGGTGGTTTTCACAGGAAACCAGTCCCTAGCAAACCTTAGGCTTTCTAACGGCAGCCCCAAGAACACAATGAACACGTAGCCCAATTTAGGTTTCCGTGCTTGCTCTCGGGGTCGTAGTTTTGGGTGGTTTTGCGTGATACATGTGCAGACAAAGAGCATGCCTCCTATACCTGATGCTTTGGGCCTCTGAGCGTAAGCTCTTCCAACACGGCTCAGGTGTACTGTTGTTGCTTATCAAGTCTGGCAAGCTCCCTTGCACGGAGGGGGTAATTATGGGGGGGGCGTGGCGAGGCCCGAACGGAGTGCTCTGGAGTTCACGCAAGTCGAGACTCACTCGCGCGCCCTCTCGGCCCAGCGCTGCTTTGAAAAAGGCGGCGGAGGGGCGGCGGGGGGGGGGGGGGGGGGGGAAACGCCATGCACGTGAGGTCCTGGACGTCCGGCGTCTCGCTTTGCTTTCGAGACATGGGCCCCCGATCTCTCGACCACTTTTCCCCGGGGCCGGTTTCTTATACCGAGCCTTTTTTTGACGGCCCCGAGAGGTCCATTGAAAGGGCCCCGAGCAGCCGAGAGCGGCGAAAAGCCGTTGCCTCGATGACGTCGAGACGCTGGACGCCTGGGCCTTGCCCGAGCCCGAGGAGGACCGCCTCCGCAGCAGTGCCCGCCGCGCGTGCCCGAGTGCTGGGCTGCGGCCCCCGCTGCCGTGCTCCGAGGGGCCGCTCGCGCAGGAGGGCCCCCCGTTCGCCCCGGTGCGGGCCCACTTCTTCAGGAGGGGAAGAATCACACAGGCACAATAATCGTTGACCCCCCAGAAAATATGGGAAAATATGGGAGGTGGGGGGGAAGACACAAACCTAGCAAATATGGGAAAATGTGGGGAATACTTTTATTTGTGTGCATTGATTCGTGTGTCCCAGGGCACCTTCAGTCAAGCAGTCACGAAGCGTCCAGGCTTGCTTGCAGGCAGGCCGAGGTGCAAGCTCGAGGTCGGTTTAAGTCGGGCGTGTCCCTCCACAGGAAGAAGATTCTGAAATAGTGAAAACAAAACGTAGTCTGGGGACGATGTTTCTGCTATTTTGTCCTATTTATTTCCATTGGTTTACTATTCTTCTTTTCGTCCAAAATCCGCCTGTAGGCAGACCGAGGCGCAAGTTCGAGGTCGGTTTAAGTCGGGCATGTCCCCCTACAGGAGGAAGATGCCGAAATAGTGAAACCATAGTCTGGGGACGATGTTTTTTTGCTATTTTTGAATATTGGTTTGCTACTTCTTGTTTTTCGTTCAAAATCCGCCTGTAGGAAAACACGCCCGACCTACAGGTCGGTTCGGGGAGGATGCCCTGCTGTTCTTGGTGCGTGTGTGTGTGTGTGTGTGTTGGATGTTCTTGGGCACCCAGCGGAGGGTACCCTTGGATGTTCGCTCCGGTGTGGGCCCATTCTGTCACGCAGTCACGAAGCGTCCAGGCTCGCTTACAGTCAGACCGAGGTGTAAGACCGAGGCCGGTTCGGGGAGGATGCCCTGATGTTCTTGGTGTATGCTCCGGAGAAAAGTAAGACTCGATTGCGCCAGAATCCAGGTTTGCCGACGTTTTTGACGAGCGCGTCATGGATTTTTTGACGGTCTAGTTTTCGTGGGATGTTTACAGTGGGAGCTCGCGTCAAATTTCAGGTTGGGTCTCGTCATTTTCATGGTGGCCCCGTTAGGTCAACCCGAGTCCCCCGAACCCGAGTCTTACATCTCTCCGATTGTTGGATGTCTTTGTGCACCTTTGGGAGGATACCCTTGGCTGTTCCGTGTGTTTTGGCCGGCGGAGGGTCTCGTGTTCTTGCGGGATGTTTTTGTGTCCTAGCAGTGACTGTATATACACATATGTATAATCCCACTCAGAAGTCAACATTGTGTGGTAAGTGTAAGACGTTCTTAGGACATCTCTAGCTCAGACAGTCTTGCGTTAAGACGACGGCATTACATTCGAAGATTATTGTCTCACCATGAAAGTGTTCATCATAAGAAAATGTCTCTGTTTGGCGATATTCGTCATCAGAAAAACCGTGGTAGGCCTAACGGAATGCCGCGGCGGCCCGCCCCTGCTCAACATTGGGGTCCCCCGATCGTTGGGCGCGATGCGATAGCAACGGTTTGCGCCCTTGGATTTGGCTGTGAACCTCCTCCCACCACAGTCTTCTCTGGAGGAGTGATCGTTGGGCGCGATGCGATAGCAACAGCGACTTGCCCGCCTGGATTTGGCTGTGAGCCTCCTCGTGCTCGCGCCCAGTGCGGGAGAACGGATCTCAGCGGTTACAGCCCAGACCGTTGTTGGGCATTTGAGTTCACGTTGGGAGGTAAGCAGGGCAGGGCAGGATTCCTGCTTGTCCCCTTGGCCTCTTCCTCCTTCCTTCCCCATCCTGTCCTCCTCTCTGCTCTCGCCTCTCCCATTGCTCTTCCCCTCCCTCGTCCTCGTCTCTCATCGTTCTGGCCCCCTCTGATCGGCGTCGCATTCTTTGCATGTGTACCAGGCGATCTCGTCCTATGTTGGCCCAGCGGCCCTGACAGATCGATCAGGCTCGCAGAGAGGTACAGGTCGAGGTTTTCCGGTTGTGCCTTTACTCGATGTCGCAGTTGTTCCGCAACGGCGGATCTCAGGGTGAGGGTGCGTCGATGTGGCCAGTCTATGGTTGTGGAAGTCGATTCATGGAGAGGAAGCGTGCTGCGAAATAATTTCCAGATGTCTAAGACATGTTTCAAACATTACTTAAACATGTAAGAATGTGTTTGGAACATGTTTAGAACATGTTTTACACATTTTAATCACATTTTAATTCAACGATCGGATTGTTAGGGTGTCCAGGTGCCTCCCTGGGCCCCCCCTCTTCGTCCGCGCACGTGCCTCGTGCCACGATGCGCCGGGCCACCCCCCTTCCTCGCCCCCTCGGGGCACCTGGGAGGAGGAGGAGGAGGAGGAGGAGGAGGAGGAGGAGGAGGAGGAGGAGGAGGAGGAGGAGGAGGAGGAGGAGGAGGAGGAGGAGGAGGAGGAGGAGGGAGGAGGAGGAGGAGGAGGAGGAGGAGGGGGGGGAGGAGGGAGGAGGAGGAGGAGGAGGAGGAGGAGGAGGAGGAGGGGGAGGAGGGGGAGGAGGTAGGAGGCCGGCCAAGGTGCGGAACCCTACGCTCGAAGGCCGCGAGGGGGAGTCGGCGTGGCCGCCGCCGCCTCTGTCGTCGGCTGTCGTCGTCGTCGTCGTCGTCGTCGTCGCCCGTCGTCCGTCCTCATCGTCGTCGCCCGTCGTCGTCGTCGTCGTCGCCGCCGTCGTCGCCGTCGTCGTCGTCGTCGCCGTCGTCGTGGCCTCCCTCCGAGACATGCCTTGCACGGTTTGGCTGTTTGTAGGAAGACGCGCTGGGTTGTGCGCCCGCATGCTGCCAGGCCACAGGGTCGCGTAGTTTCCCCCGCTCCCCGATTTCCGGGATCGGAGGAAAGGAAGGTCACCGCGGAGGTTTTTTGCCATTGCTCTCCTGCAACCCCCTCGGAGTGGGGGGAACCACCAGTGAAGGGTGACGCAGGAAGCTCCACGCTCAGCCTTGGGGCCCAGCCCGGCTGAGCGCTTTCCTGCATTCGGAGGTGCGTGCGTTCGAGGGGGACGAGGGGGGAGGAGGAGGAGGAGGAGGAGGAGGAGGAGGAGGAGGAGGAGGAGGAGGAGGAGGAGGAGGAGGAGGAGGAGGAGGAGGAGGAGGGGGGGTGAGCGCTTTCCTGCATTCGGAGGTGCGTGCGTTCGAGGGGGACGAGGGGGGAGGAGGAGGAGGAGGAGGAGGAGGAGGAGGAGGAGGAGGAGGAGGAGGAGGAGGAGGAGGAGGAGGAGGAGGGGGAGGGGGACGGGGAGGAGGAGGAGGAGGAGGACTCCTGCTGGGGTCACTCCTGCGTGCAGCGGAGGCGCCCCCCTACCGTTCGGGAGAGCAAGGCCACTGCTCGCAGTGCGCTCGTCCGCGGCACGAGCGCCCACTCGGCGCAGGCGCGCTTCGCCCGTGCTCGTGCCAGCGGTTGGTGCAAGGGGCGCGGAGCAGGGCTGGACCTCTTCGTGGGCCCGTTTCGCTCCGACTTCGTTTTGCGGGAAGGGCGGCTTCGAGGCAAAAGCGAGGGACAACGAGAACAAAACGAAGACGAAAAGCACCGTTTAGGTTCAGCCCTGGCGCGGAGGAG